GAGCAGAACAGGCAGATCCACGAAGTACACTGCTGAGGGGAGCAGCGGGCAGGTCAGGAGAGGTCTGCCATGCCATGTGGTCACCTCCGGGGCAGGGATCGAACTCATGCGGAAGTGGCTTTAGCTTCTTAGTGCTGTGCTTAAAAAGCTGTTCCACCAGGGAGGGCCCACTTTTAAGTTTTTATACATCAACAACTATAAACAAAGTTAGTAGGCAAATGAAAGTAGGAAAAATATATTCAACATTCACTGCAGATAGAATTTTAGATAAGGCCACTAACCCTAACAATTTTTAGGAAAATTATTAATAAAAAATTAAAACAGATAAAGGTTTTGATATCTAAACAAAGTTTAGATATCTAACTGATAAAAATTTTTAATTTTTAATGACATAATTTAAGGATAACATTATTTTAATCCTTATATAATATTATAGCTTGCTTAGATCTATCCCTGGATTTGGGTCAAAATACTGCATGATATTTACACTGGAAATAAATGGCGGTAGAGAAAATTTTCTGTTAGTTATATGGCATGGGATGAGCAATACTGTCTTAGTTTTGCAATATACTGCCGTTGCTACTGATGTTATTTTTATATAGTGAAGCAACAGCCTTCTTTAATCTCTTCAGGAAAATAACAATTTAATAATAAAATATTTGACCTCATAAAAAAAAAAAGTGACAAGTTTTCAGTGTAGAAACTAAAAGGTCTGGAGCTCTGAGTCCAGAACTCCGGCACAGCCTCCCAAGAAACACAGGCCCCTGGCTCCCACAGACACAGGGAAAGTAGCTACCTGGCCGCAGGGCGCTGGGCGGGCCTGTACCTGACGTCAAACAGTCCTCTTGCTTTCAGCCTCACCCTTACCTCACGCCACTGATATCTGGTGTCTAAGACTTCTGAGCTTTTACTGGGTTCTAAGGAGCGAATCAGTCGGGTTCTCATTAGCAAGTCCAGGCACTTGGACTTTATCTTCCTCTACCCTGGTACCATTTCTCTAACCCGCTCCTCAGCTTCTAAAAATACATTATTTCTGTTGACTGTAGTGCCTTCTCTTGGTGTGTTTGTGTATGTGCAAGTGTGGAGGCGGGTGGGGGAGATCATTATGGCTTTTTCATTTGATGGGGAGAAACAGGTAACTGCATACATTCAGGTACTTTGGCAAGAAATCACTAGCTCCACTCACCATAATGTACATGCTACTGTCTTCCTTTCAAACATGCTTTAAATGACTGTTGTGCACTAACAATGACTTGTTTACTCTTAGTAAGGAGAGATTCAATTAAAAAGAATTTGCTTTTAGTTGAGCTTAGGCAGTTTGCAGGATAAGCAACTAGGTGAAATAGCAAGAGGGAGTTGATTTTGACAATTTTCTCCTTTGTTCTCATTGCTTTTATGGAGATTTTTGGAGCTCCTTATTCTGCCATTTTCATAGATGTCACTTCATCCATTCCATTTTATAAATAAAAATGATTCACTGATTTGGAACATCCTGTCCTTCAATGAAGTAAAAAGAATACTTTCATGGAAAATGTTCCAAGACAAAGAAATAACCCAGGGTAGTGATTCAGTCTGTCCTAAACATGCATTCCCAGGCCAGACTTGTGGGTTTGGTTTGGATCCACAAACTCGTAGATTGCTGAGAGCAAACTTTTGAGTCCAGTAGTGGGAGATGGTGGCTTGCAGTGTGAATATAGAAAAGAAGTCACACTAGAAGAACACTACCTCAAAGCATCCTGAGAAATGCATTAATTCTTTGACTACTGTAACATGCCATTCAGTCTGGTCTGAAAGTTCAATTGATTAATTTTACCATTCAGTTAAATTGTTCTGGAAATTAACATCTTAGCCATAAAACTGTTAAACAGTCTTAGAACTGGAAGAAACTATAATCAACCCCTCTGTTAAGGTGAATTTTAATAATGATGGTGACCATCTTTTACTGAGTGTTTTTTGCTGCCAGGAACAGCGCGTACAGACTGATAAAGCCAGTCTCATGGCAATGTGTGCACTGTTAGTGTTCCATGCGTGGGGTGGGTGGGGAGGGGTCCTCACACCAGCAAGCGATTCTTGGACACCAGCAGGTTGTCAGAAAAGCCAGATCCAGCTCTGAACAATGTTGCCCCAGGGATAGCATCAGATTCTACAGACTCAGCAGCCCAATATCACCCTCCACTTCAGACATCAGTCACAAGCCCTAGGCAAGTCCAACACTTGGACTTCTGCCCAACAGATTACAAACAGGAGGTTTCCATGACCCCCTCCTCAGACTTTGGGTGTCCAGTTGAAAGCCCAAATTAGTGCATGTGCTCTCATCAACTGGTTATAAGTCAGAGGTTCCCAGGACCCTCACTTCATGTTTGATTCATTTGCCAGCATGTTATAGAATACTCAGGAAATCCATTTACTCACTAGGTCACCAATTCATTAAAAGGATATTAAAGGATATGAATATATAGCCAGATGGTAGAGATGTATAGAGAACAGGTACAGAGAAAATGTGCAGAACTTCAATACCTTCTCCAGGCACACCATTCTCCACAGCTTGTGTTCACCAACCCAGGAACTCTCTGATGCCCCTTCCTTTTGGGCTCTTTTATGGAGGTTATGTTAGTGGGCAGAGTGAAGTTTTTACCTCAGGGCTCCCAAACTTGAATGCTCTAAAGGGATTCTGTCATCTCTGCATAAGGACAAAACATCCTATTAGTGAGTAAGAACTAATAATTTTCCAGGGAGACACCCAAGCTTCCCCATCCCCATGTGGGACTAGAGTTGGTCCAAAGCAGTGCTGAGGCCTAAAAGTTTGCTGCAAGTCCCCGGCACCTCTGGCAAGGAACCTTAGGAAAGGGGCAGAGGGAGCCGGGCCAGGCTGGCATGAGAGGAACAAAACTCAAAGTACAAGTCAAGATAAAGGCTGCCTTTGTCAGTCTGCTCATGTTTAGCTCACCCACGTATTGCTTCCGAGTGTCTCTACATGTCTTGACTCCATGTGTCTCCTCCAGTGCCGCTAGTCCCTGATACATATCCAAAGCTGAGAAGTAAGTGTCTGCTTTGCTTTTCACATGTCTCTTAGTTCCACGTGTCTCCTTCTGTATCTCCTTTCTTGTGTGCCTCAAGCTTACCCTCCCTGTGCATCTTCACCCCTCACTAGGTATGGCAGGGAACATGGAACTGCCTTTTTTATGGAGATGCCTCTAGTGCAGTTTTATTACATAGGCAGGACTGATGAACTCATTGGCCTTTGGCATGTGACCTCAATTCAGCCCCTTTCCCTTCACTAGAGGTGAGGGAGTTGGTTTCCCTGGCAACCAGTCTCCATCATTACTCACAAGTTAGGAAATGCCAAGGGTCTGGGGGGCTCTGAAGTGGAAATTGTGGGTGAGGAACCAAGTATGTACGAGATATGTTTTGTCATCTGGGTGATAATCTGTCTGTCCTGTGTGTGTATCTCACAGGTGGTATTTATCATCTCTATTTGATTGCTAGGTCAGGAAATGGACATCAGTTTGTCTGGGTTCAACACATGTTAGCAGGCAGATCCAGGACTTACACAGTCTCTGGTGACCTCAACACCTGG